CACGTGCGCTAAAAAGTGCCCTCCCCCCCCTCCAGAGCACCTGCCCCCCAAAATGTCTGTGCACGCCTCTGCTCCCCGCTTTATATGCACAATCAATAGGAACTACTAGAGAAACCTGCAATCAACAACAAATATTTAAGATTTCCAGAGGACTTCACCATTTAAATTTGGGATAGTTAAACTGACGATGCCCACATGCATGGCAGTTGGATGTTGTAATACATCGGGTAAAAGTGAAAAAACATTTAGTTATGTCACCTTTCCAATTCATGATCCTCCACGAGATAGCCAAATTGAAGAGGCAGGATTTGCCATCAAACTTGTGGCCAGAGAAAAAACATGTAATATATAGCCCAAATTAAAAAAAAAAATATGTTTTTAAGATGACTTGGATAACAGCGCGTTGTAACAAAGACAAGATACAGCACTGGGACTTGATCAACAACCGATACCACACCGTGACGTCACAAACCGTTAGGTGGCGGTAGTGTTCTTTGAAAAACAGATGTCTCCAGTAAAGCACTTTCAAATGAAAATTACTCTTAATTAAAACACTTATCATTTATTGAACAGTTTGTAATAATTTCATATTTAAAGTACTTTGAGAAGTTTGAATTATGAATATGAATGGACTTCTCCTTTAAAGCTCCTTTAAACCTACTTTAAAAAGATAACCAATTTAAAACGGAAAGCACATTAAATGTCTGTATTAGGGAAAATTACAAACAAAGATGAAATTAGTATTTTAAAAATTTTCTTTGAAAAAATCAAACAGTGGAACTTTCCTGAAACCACTACAGCTTGGATCATGTTGAACCATAATCAGCTGTTTGCACGTCTGCTATCAATATTCAATTTCTCTGTAGTCTAACAATAAGAATAAAACCAGGAATTCAAAGTAACATAAAAAGAGAGCAGATCCGGGTGTATGTGTCTCAACTTTTTTTTTTTTTTTTTTTTTACAAAACTGATAACCAGTTTCTTTCCCGTTACTAGTTTTCTTACAAAAAAAATTTAAACACATATTAAACTGATGAATCCATGTTTTGTTTTGTTGTTGGTTTTTCCTCATTTTAGCCTTTGAGTTTTATTTTTAAATTTTTGGTTGTTTCAATGTTATATTTTGGAATCGTGTTTCAGCATTTTATATATATATGTTGTAGGTTTCAAATCCTGCCTACATGGTTAACATCTAAAGTGACTGTCAAACTTTGAGAAGCAGGGTCTGATGTTACAAACATAAAAGTATTTTATGTAGTTAAAACCATATGACAAATATAGCTGACAAATTTCCGATTCTCTTTGAAATGTTGGCTTGATACGAAACTGTTCCTTTAGAGTTTGTGCTGCCACACTGAGCTAATATATTCTAACTGCATTCCTCAACAACCTTATCTGGATGATAAAGCACCATAAGAGCAGCTGACCTGGAAAAACACAGACGGAGTGTCTGCTGTGAGTCTCTGTGGGAAAGGAGCGCTGCATCATGTCTGAAGGTTCAGTCAAATGCAAATAGAAGTCTAAAACTAAATAGTTTTGATTAAATTTTGAATGTGTCTTTTTGGTCATATGCTGACAGAAGCCTGGGGAATCAGGTTATCAGCTGCCTCTTGAGGACATTTTGACAAAATAGACATGCCTTGACAGGAGGTGTAACCACTGAGGCTCCCTTTAATGTTACTGCTGCGTGGGCACATATGTCTCTATTTTTCTTACCTTGGCAGAGGTCTGAAACCATCCCACAAAGCCATTTTCCTGGCAGAACTCGTCCATCTTTATTCCATTATTGGTCAGTACTTCCTGGCCTTGGTCACATTTGTTAGCCAGAAGCACAGTGGCTACATTTTTCCCATTGGCTAGTGTGAGCTTTGAATCCAAGTCCTCCTTCCATTTGGTGACAGCCTCAAAGGAGGCCGGCCGTGTAACATCAAAGACGATGAATGCACCCATGGCTTCACGGTAATACACACGGGTCATGTTGCCGAACCTCTCCTGACCTGCAAAACACCAACAGACATTGATATCTTAAGTATGTGCATTAAACATCACATTTTACAAATGATTCTAATGAAATGATTTGATTTTTTAACAGTTTATCAAACTCAACATAAAACACTAACTGTACTGTAATGTAGTAATGTTATCACAGCATATTTACTCACGATAAAATCCTTATAATTCTCCCACATCTCATTAACAAAAACATAAACGAACAAGGACATATAAATTGAATGTATACAACTAAAACCAATTGTTTATATATGTTGCAATAAACACACAATTGCTTTATTCTTACAGCCTTAATTCTGTAAAGAAACTTTCATGTTGTAGGTCAGTTTAGAGCACCATAATAATCTCCATTTCCCAAATGGCAGAATAATATAAAAATTCAGATCCACTGGGATAACTATGCTTTTTAACAGTTTGAGAAATCCAGCGAAAGGACTTCATTTGGAGCAGACAGAGTTTTCAGGAAAACAACAAATCAGAAATGAACAACTTTGCTGATGTTTGTAGCCCCCAAGATTTTTCGCATATGCTCAGTCTCCTAACTGCTTTATCAATCATGCATAAGAAGCTGAAATTAAACTCATTGAAATTTTTATGGACTTTGCCCACAGAAAGCCAATAAAAAGTCTGTGGCATCCTGTAACAGAGGATAATTTGAATCTTGCTGTTTTTAAACATACCGTATAGGTCTACTTTAGATATTTTATTCTGAATTTTACCTTTTTAAATATTTTATTTTGTGATGCAATATTGTCACATATTGTAAAAGAAATATTGCAGATTATGTTCTACATCACCCTGGGATCGGCTGACAACCTGTTTGGGATGTACCCCACCTCTTGCGCAATGATAACAAGAGACATAGGCAATCATGCAAGTATAGGCATATGGAGAAAATGAATGGATATTGTAAGCTTAGTTTGTTCATAGCTGCATTGTTATTTTATTTTATAAAATGCGTATTTTCTGTGAGAATAAATCCTGTTTCAGTCCCTGTATGTATTGCTGTGAAATCAGGGATTTGGAAATAAATGCCAGTAAATCAATAATTTTTTTCTGGTGGATGTTCGTTACTGCTGAGTTTATTCCAACTATAAGTTCCACTCAAATCCAATCAGCTCCCAAATCAACTAAACCTCTTGGTGATTTCCAACAGATGGGGAGAAATACCATAGTGTAAGTATACCTACTTTTTAAACTACCCTGCATGGTGTTATTCTTTAAAATATGTGAAGAATAGATTTGTTTTTCGCTCTTTGATGAGTCCTCCTGTGGTTCTCCTTACATGAACAGGTGGATAAAAGCACGGTGTTAGCTAGGGAACAGCTGGCAGGATGTCAGCTGAGCTCAAGGACACATTGGAGTTAGGTTGTCTTTGAAACATGTCCCTATACTCGTAAGTTTTTTATTGCTGAATACAAAGCAGAGAGTTTTGCCTCAGGGTTAAATGCTCCAATGGCAGCCATGTTTTAACTGAATGGAATATTTCACACATTGATAATATGTTATCTGGCCAAGTGTTTACCATATGTATACAAAATACATTTCTACAAGATCTTCTGGGAGTAACTTGAGTCATGACTCTGTTCCAGAGTGCTACAGAGAACAGGTATTGTAATAGTTTATTTAAGCATTCATTAATAAAGTATTACAGTCTCTTAGAAAACTACCCTTGAACCATTCAACATTATATTTTGTTGCACTTTCAAATTGAAATCTATTTTATGATTTTAGCTTCTGTTAAATATTAAAAAGGGAGTAATTAAAAAAATCAAATTAGATATGAGACAGCAAAGAGGTGTATTGGAAGATCCTGGAGAGAAAAATCCAGTAGAATGATATATATATGATGTGTGGTCAACGATGAGGAAGATGACAGGTTTCAAGCAGAAGGAGAACTGGGCAGATGAACTTATCACAATCTTCAAGAAGTTTAGTTCAAGACAAAATTCAGAATCCTTCTCTCCTGCCAGCTAAAATATTTTAATCTTGCCCCTTTGCCATAGACTTCTACTGTAAATGTTTCTTTCTCACTCAAATCTGAAGCCAAATGCTGTCTAGAAATCAACTGATGCAGCAACCGATGAGATTGAATTGAATGTTTTCAGCTCTAGAGTCCTGAAGGCCTATGCAGAGCAGCTCTGTGGGATTCTACAGCACCTCTTCAGCCTTAACCTGACCCAGCAGACAGTTCCATGAAACAGCCATCAGTCCTCAGACCTGAGGTCTGTTTCACAAAGCAGTTTTGACGAACTAGCAAATTTAAATCCTTCACTCTGAATTAATTTAGCTGTGGTTGGAGTTCTGGATTCACAACAGCCGATGTGAGTTAGTTTAATCAACTCTGAGTAGGTTCACTCTGAGAAAAACGTGTGTGTAAATATAAAAAGCCTTTATACCCTAACTAGAGCCCCGATTCGACAAGTCACCATGACAACACTTATTAGAAAAGGCCTATTTCTCATCACTAGAAGTAAAGATTTGGATAGTGCTACAAAGCTGTAAAGGCGAGGGATGGCATAGGCGAAGGTTGCTGCTCGAGTTAATGCGTAAGAATATACATTATGGCAGGCCATTTTGACATTTATTAAAAGCCTTCACCTCTCTGTTATAACATTATAATGGATTCTTCCTGGTCAAAGTCACATTCCTAGTCACAACCGTAATAATAAATGTCATACATTGAATTTTTGCCAGGAGTAACTGAATTTCAGAATGTCAAAAAACTAAATTGTACTAGTAAGAATTAAGCTGTGGATACCTACAAATCAAAAGCGGCTGTTTTGACATTTATCAGCTTGACTAAATATTTATTTAGGTTGTTTAATAAGTCTGTGTAGTGCTGCAAAGTGAGGACGGATAAGTTTGGAGAAGCATTTGATCGATTTTGAGGCAAAACAGTAGCGCTCATATTGATTATTTTCAGAACATGAAAGGGCAACTATGCATAGTCTGAGTAACTTCTCTGGACGAATATTTAATTCTCTGAAGATTAATGCCACTTGATTGTATCCTCATTAAAAGGACATGGAGTGTTTGTGTTTTTTTACAACTAATGTGTCTAAGGCCCTACAGTGCTGACTGCGTTTTATATTGTTCACCCAGAACAACGACAGAACTCTCCTGACTAAATCAGGAAATTACATGCCTGAGTGGCTTTAAGGAGGGCAGTGACAGAGGGCACTGAGTTTATTGAGGAAAATCAGCTCCTGGCCAGGTTAGCCCTAGAAAGAATGTTACCATAGTAACACAAAAGTTGAGAAACCTCTCTTAAATAAATGGAAAACTCTGAGTTTCCCCGATTTCATAGTTTACAAAATTAGTGTTTTCCTTAAACTTGCATTGTGAAACGGACCTCTCTTGTCTGGAAATTCCAAATCATGAAGATCCTGCAGAGACTTCTGTTGGTCCATCTGAGCAAGCAAACAAGCAGCTATCAGGAACTCCTGCAGTTTGCTTATCATTGTGGAGTTGAAGTTAAAGATGCCATCATACACCTGCTACAACAAAGCCTCTGTCATTTAGACAAAGCAGGCCACACTGTGGGGATCATGTTCTTCGATTTCTCCAGTGCATTTAACACGATTCTACCGGACTTTGTCAGAAACTCCATAAGCCTCAGATGGAGGCATCAACAAACACCAAGATCAAACACTACCTGGCAAACAGACTATAGTTTGTGAGACTGAAGGGTCAACCATCTAATCAGATAGCAGCACAGGAGCACTACAGGGGATGATACTTTCATAATTTCATTGTTCCCTGTACACCTTCTACTTCAAGTACAAGTCAGAATTTTGTCTTTTGCAAAGAATGACTCTGCAGTCGCAGGGTGAACTAGAGATGGAAAAGAAGCTGAGTAAAGGATGGTTTGTTTGCCTAGTGTGGAAACAATCAACCTATCCAGAATATGAACAAAACAAGGGAGATGAAATGTCCTGCTTCATGAGAAACAGGACTAAGTTGAATCTTATTAACATCCTGTTGACAACTTTTTTTTCATATGCAATAAATATATTTATAATCATATCCATCTATATAAATACCCATGTAAATGCCCTGTGCAATAACCCTGTATAATAATATTAAAAAGAGCCGTCATATGTGGACGCACTGTATAAACTGTATACTGAAGATCCCATGCACCTTTTTCTTCCTTTGGAACTTTCTTCTTTTTTTTTTGACTATCTAAGCTAATGTAACGAGTAAATCGTCCCGCTGTGAGATCAATAAATCAATCATGGAAGAAGTGGAGGTGGTGGAGGACTATCAATAGCTTGGTGTTCAGTGCAACAGACTGAACCTGAGATGCAACTTTGAAGACTTGTAAGAGGGGACAGAGGCCTTTTGGTGTTTGCATGAAGATGCTCCATAGATTCTATAAGTCTGTTGTGGAGAGACAGATCTCATTTGCCATGATCTGTACGGTAGCATCAGCAGAACAATTGCTGCACTGCTGCAAACACCCCTCTTACAAAACCATCACAGACACTCTCACAGGGCCATATGATCCTGCAGCCCACTGTGCTCGGGGAAAAAGGGATCAACTCACAAACATTAGCTGAGTGTCCATTCGACTGAAATTTAAGTGAACTTTTAAAAGTTTGAAAAAAGGAAATGTGAATTTGTGGTGTGTTCGTATGGTTTGAAGCAAATTAACCAAGTGACGCAAAGCATAATTTTACGTCATCCCACATGGCTATAATAAACAGGAAGTAGAGGCTGAAATCTATCATGCTCAGATCAGTAATAAAGGAAAGTTAATGTCTTGCTATTGAGCAAGTTGTATTTAGGTTAATGTGTCAGCGACTGTAGTAATCGCAATGTTGTGTCCAACTTTGTTTACATACATAATAAGAACATCAGAGAAGACTCTGACAGCAGAAACAGCTGATGGATCTGGTCAGGTAAAAGTTAGTTACAGTGGTAGCCATTCAAAATTTCCCCACTTTCCTTGATGGGTCCTTGGCTGGTCCCCTAAAATTCATTTTTAAACATCAATATTTATACTAAAATATTATTTCGGTCATGATTTGTAAACATTAAGACCTAAGGGGAAGCATCGTCTCCTGGTCAGACCCTGTAATTCAGTGAAAGGGTGGAGTCAAAGTAAAAAAAAATGCAAGAGGGGGGTCACTCCAGTGGCTGAAAGTTGGAGGGGATTTTGCTGGCAGTTGGAGGGAAGTGGACTGCCATTCGGCTGGCGTTTGACAGGGAAGGGCCACTTTGAATGGCTGCTACTGTACGTCAGAGTTGATTTAAAAAACATATTTTCATCTCCCATTTTGCGCATTAGCCATTTTTTGTTTTTTTGTTTTTTTGCAAAAGCCAAAAACCACCTCAAGTGGTTTGAGGCAATTTTCAGAACCAGAATGTTGCAAACAGACTGTCTGTAAAATTCTCTCTGAGTCTAGAAGAGTAGAGTGACTCAGAAGTCCCAGACTTGAATCCAGAACCAAGAGACAACAAAGGACCAAGGCCTCCCAACAGGCCAAAGACCCTTCTGGGCTAAGCTAACTTTGGAGAGGCCTCACCTTTCCAAAATAGAGATTAAAGAAAATAAAAATTCTGGCCAAGTTAGGGAAAGAGTTTCAAAATAAACAACTTGAGTACAACATTTCATATATTCACTGTTGTGTAAGGCAAGCTAACAGTGAGCAAATGGTGGCCACAGAGTACCCAGTGCTGACGTGTTTATGCTGTTGTTTAGAAGGCTAAAACAAACTTTATTTCACAAGGTGCCTAAACCCTAACATAACGTTGATCCTAAGGGATTTCCTGTTACGCTCATTGGATGAAAAAATATAAACAAAGTGTTATTTTATTTTAATTAAGCCTTGTGTCTGCTAGTTACTAGCATTAAGTCAAACAGAGCTAAAGGTAGTCATTATTCTCAATGATTCCATTGGGAATAATCTCAGAAATTGATAATCCATAATCTAAAACATTATTTGCTTCTGATTTAGGCAAATCATTTCATTGAATATTATTTTGCCAAATAATGTCTTATTAATCTCTTTGGATTTACATTGTGAATTGGTTTGAACACTTTTTTGATCACTCTAAATTAGTTAAAAGCTAATTTGAACGCATGTCAAGTTATTAATGAAAAACTTCATTATTTGGTTCTCAAAAATAATTGCATTATTTTATTGACTATGGTTTTTAACCATTTCATGTCTTCTTTCTGTATATAGTATCTTAATGAAGTTAAACTTGTTAAATCAAGAGTTTTAACTGAAATATGTTTGATCTGAAGTTGAATGATTCTTGTTATTAAATTCTTATATTTCAAATGGAAGTTATGAATTCATTCCATATGTGTGCAGAGATAACTGTTTGAACATGATGTGAGCTCGATTAAGCCATTTGGGCATGTGCTCACAGAGCAATATCCAAAATATACTTGAGTAAATGACATATTCACCTCCCAATCCCTACCCTGTACCCCACTTGAACATTGAAAATAAAGTTTTTGCATAACC